AATTCTGAAGTATGGAAAACTTTCGAGGCCCTTATCATTTAATTAGGCCTAAAATCCCCTGATGTATCAATTTTTCATATTGTTCTGATTACTCGCCTTATTTATGCATTGCTCTCAAAAAAAGCTAAAAATGTCGCGTCCGTAATTAAAAGAAAGGTCACGTTGCGGTGTTCTCAGACACTGACCTGCTGACTGCTTTTATTTTTTGTACAGTCATCGTATTCATTCGACCTTCATCTGCCATAAAAGAGAAACAGGCCATGCTCTCGAAACATTCCTGAGTTGCCGCCAAGTTCTTCAAGTCTGCTCTAGCAACTGCTTGAGATCATCATTCCACGGCATTCGTGGTCGTCGTTGAGATCTGTTGACTTGATCTGTTCATAAGGACTTCCAATTCATCATGGGTCAGACGGCCTGTGACGCTTCCATTCTTGATCATAGGGCGTTTCGCCCATGTCGGCTTTTCGCCATTGCAATGTCAGACCGCAGAGTTTTGGGGATCCTCACTCCACACCATCGTCCCAGCATTTCATGATCTCTTATACTCTTGCGTCGACTCGGCACTTGGCACACGCCTCTACAACTTCCTTAATGTCTTGATATCGGTTCGTTGATTATTTGGCTAATTACCATCTTTGCGGTTGCTGATTAGACTAACATCTGAGTCCGTCTCCTGCTCGTGTTGGCGTGTCTGGAATACCTGTCGCTATAGTCCGAGGAAAATCTTTAGACGTGCCATCGTCGCCTAAATTTTTCTCAGCGTTCTCTTTGCATCTTCAATATCTCGGTATTTCGAACTTTCTTGTGATACTCCACCTCAGCTGTTCCCTCATCTGCCACATCATGTCGAAATCTTGAAAAAACATACTGAAGCTGCCTAATGATACAGAAAGCTGTTACAGTTCGATTGGCTCTCTACGCCGACGACTGTCGTTAGGTCATGTTTCATTGTTTCCTTGCGTTCACTTCAAGTCTGGTAGTTTTGATCGCTTGGGCAAATTTATTGATCCTAGCTTGCAAACCATCAACGGTTGGAGAAAGCCAGGCCGGTGTAGGCGAGATCCATTCTTGAGAACAATCCGACTAGTCCAGAACGGCCTTTACGCAAAGAAATGAGTTTACAGTAAGTAATCCTGCTCAGACCAGAATGTTACTCCTAGGCGATTTACTCACTTTCTCTCAAGATAGCGTGCAGAATTGATGTCGGGTAAACTTCTTCCATATACTCCGTCCGCAGATTGCGGAAAGCACAATTCAAACGAAGAATTCGCACCTCACTGCAAATGATCAAGCCCCGACTATGACCCTCCCTGGTTGTGTGAAAAATGTTTATTATCACGAATTACAGAAGCTCACATGTTTAGTTTCTCTTCTTGGATAAAAAGATATTTGCCCATTCGTCTCTCGCCAACATTCTATATGTCACACCTCCACGCTAAAGGCCTTACTATGGAAATCCTCTGTCTTCTTCACGTCAATCAAAAATGAAAGGTTACCAGAAACTGTATATTTTCCAGTGGGTGTCGAATTGATTTGTTTTTACCATCAATATTTAATTCATTCAATTATTTCTAATGTGTCACCTCTATGGATGATTCCCTTTTCTTTCATCTGAGTTCAAGAGATATATTGCAGACAAGAAGTCACTCAAGTCTCAGTTGTCCATCGAGTTCGACCGGTACGACGTCGTGTCAGACGACGACAGCCATTTGTTTTCGCGGCGTATACACACATGCACTTGCTTTTTCGTATACAACTCGACCTCCAACACATTAGTGCAATTTACCCTTTTGCGAAATATCGAAGGATGAGATCAAACAGTTCTCTCGAAGTATCTATTCCTTTCAACGCTTTTATAGAGATGGTTGATGAAAGCAAGAAGAAATACGAGAGCACAGTATGGATTTTCATCATTGATACTACACATTCTTATGACTTCATCGTTTTCTTTGAAGGTTTATTACTCTGCCAAAGAGGAGCTCGTCATTGAATCGCTGAGAAGAAAGATGGTTTAGTACCATTTATCAATGAAACAAATCTTCCCGATGGTGTCTCCGTGGTTCACGATTTTGCAAAAGGTACATTTTTTGGTTGTACTTCTTATGCGAGATTGCTGAATTACCCTAAAATCCCATAGATAAGAGCGGTCCATAGATATTTTTTCAAAAATAAAATAAAAATAAAAATATTTTTTCAAAATCATTTTTTACCGGTAAATTAAACCGCTCTTATCTATGGAATTTTACTGATCGAATGGGCTCGTATAACTTCGATTAATAGATCGAATCTTCAAGTTCTATCCATAGCAAATTCCGGCATTTCTAGAGAGATTCCGGCAGAAATTCCGTTAAAATCGCTATTTTTCTATATGAATTGTTTATTAAGTGGGCGGGGTTTAGAGTTGAGGGACGGAGCTTCTTCTAAACTTCTTCTCCGATTTTTATTTATCCATCCATCAAGTTAGAGGGGTGACTGCATTCAATTTCAATTTCATTCCAATTCATTTTTCACCGGTAAATTAAACCGCTCTTATCTATGGGATTTTAGGGTATATTACTTTTCCCATTATGTCTACGAGCAATGTCTACGCGTTTTTTCCACATTGTATAGAAACAACATTGACTGTTTTGTAATAAAATTCATGCTAGTTCGACAGACAAGAGCGGCTCAGATACCGACAGCTTCGGCCCAGAACGAATCGAACCATACAGCCGCTTTCAGGATACGAGTACTCATTGGGCTCCTCACCTTGTTTGCGCCCCCTACCAAATGACACAGCAGACGTCATTTCTTCTGAAGGAACACTTTCTATGCGCCCTCTTGGTGATATCCTGATTGCACCAGATTTGAAGTTTGGAAACTATGGACAGGTAGGGGCTTTTAGCATTGAGACTTCGGTAAACTCATGCTTCAATTTTTGTGATATTTTAGTATATTTCTAGTTTCAGATTAAGGATAAAGTAATATATTCAGTCTTTTTTGTTTCGCTGAGTGCACTTATTTTCAGATTAAGACCGATGACAATCGTACACTAGACGTGTTTCGAGCTTTTGATAACAAAACTGGAAATACCGTCGAGGTACACTTCGATGGAAACTGGTTGGAAGAGTATCTAACTTTCAAGGTTATTTTGTAGTATTTTATGTGATGTGTTCAGCAGATTTTTACTTCTGGGCGCTGCAAAAAAAGCAAATCATATAATGTAATATCTTCTGCCTCTATTCGGCTCAAAGCATGGAAGAGAAAGAAATTCTCATTATCATTATTCTTACGTCAATTAGTTTAAGCTAATGTATTAATCCTGAGTTCTTTGAGGAATTTTGCGAGCCTGTATTCTTTGGGTCCGCTCAACCCTTATCTTTTTCGAGTGGGACTTGTGGGAGTATAATCTCAGACCTTGAGAAAAAGGGTACGGACGGGAGTCGTCCTCTTATGGTTAGCTCGGTATATCCCAGTTATGGGATCTATTGACTCTGGGAATGAAATTGTGTTGTGACCTCCACATAGCTTCCGTTTCTATGAAATGAGTCACGCAACCATTTATGTCACAAGTGTGGGATTCACGGCCATATCAGGGCGGGTAAAGCATGTAGTTGAATATTGGTCAACTGAATCAGTTGTTGCAGTATGTGGTCACGTTTGCCGTTTGCCTTGCCTTCAGAACTCTAGATTATAATGAAATTTAGGTATTGGAAACACATAA